GGCCCGCTAGGGTGCTTACCCTGGCGAGCCGCGTGCCGAACGTTGCCGACCCCTGGCCTACTGAATAGCTGAGATCAGCTGGGTGCTTGAGCTGGCAATGCCTATCTCATAGGAAGCTCCTCAAGCCTGGTTTTAGCTTTCCTTACTTGGTTTCATGGAACCTGGTTTCACTGCCCATGGACCATGCAAAGCCCATCTCTAGGGTACCATGCAAAGCCCATCTCTCCCCTGATTGTTTGCCTAAGGGTGGAGTTGGATGAATGGGAGAATGTGGGGCTCCAACCCTTTTTGCTGCTCAGAAGCAAAATTGTATATTTTCATTGGGTCTGGTACATGCACCTCAAGACATTAGAAGATGCATTAAGAAAATATTAAAAATCTCAAATTAACAAAACAATTCAATGAGTATTATACTGAGATAAACCTGCGGGGACTGTAGCTTGCATTTAGAGGAAGAAGGATGGCCTTGATTGTTTAGGCCATGTTCTTCTTGTCTTCTGAGTTGTTCCCGTAGGGGAACTGGAGAGAACCTTTCACTAGAAATTCCCTTTGAAATCAGTTTTTTAAAATAATAGATAACATTTACCTTGGTTACTTTAGACAGTCAATATTTTTTCTATAGCTGTTGTAAAAACAGTTACAGAGTAAATTTAACTTCAGTCCTAGGCTCATGGACTGAATTTTAACCTTAATTTTGGATAGTGTCTTAACTGAAACAATTGGCAGTGTAAAGTTGGTTCACTAACATAAGTAAGTAGCTTTTATTTAATGTTGGCTGTCTTTTTATAAGCTTATTTAAAATAGACAAGGTGGGTGAGGTAATATCCTTTATTGGACCAACAGAACTTGATCCAGTAAAATATATTACCTCACCCACCTTGTCTTCTAATATCCTGGGACCAACAGTGCTACAACTACACTGCATACTACTTTGAAACAGGTAGTTTGGATTGACTCCAGCAGACTTATAAAGAGTCATAGATTTTTACAATATGCTGAAACAATCAAACCTAAACTTCTGAACAGGAATGAACCTGGCAACTGCTACGAGTCAATTGATCAGACTATACAAATAGACAAGAAGGCTTTGACCCGTTGTGACATCATGCAGATAATTTCACTGATGTCAGTGGAGCTATTCAAGTTGGTAAGGTTAATGTGATTTGTTAGGAGTACTCTTTACTTGTCAATTTTTATTTTAAAAGCCAAAAAAAGAGCAATCCTCATGACTTAGCTGTACTTCTACACCAAAATAAATCAGGTGAGCCTTCCCTTGTTGCATTCTAGTAATGATTGATTACTAGTTTTCCCAGAACTGTTTACAGTCTTACTGACCTCAATTATGCTACTACGCAGGCACAGATGTAAACAAAGATCATCCATAGGCTTCTGTACTGCAAGATGTTTGCTAAATGGAGGTCACGTTTGATAGGGGGGAAAGATTGCTTTGAAGCTTCTGAAAAAGTACTGTAAACATTCTGTGTATATGTGTAAAACGTAACTGGTGGGTAAAAACAAACTTACAGCCTAAAGCCTAAATCATTCCAATTTTCACAATTGGAATCTTAAATCCATAGGCTGAGTGCACATCTACTAAGATTGCATGGTCCTGGCCCTGAAGCTTGAATTCTCTTTCTGCCTTTGACAGCAGCTTGCTGTGTGAGTTTGGATAAGTCACTTAACTTTGCTGTTTCTCAGTTTACCCATCTATAAATGGAGATAGCAGCTGCTATACTTCCTAAGTGAGGAATGAACTCAAGTCCATAATCCCACTGATGTGAATAACTTTTAGTTATTACTCAAGACCTTTTGTTGCATTTAATGGGAAAATATGCTCACCTTAGAAACACTGATATTTCTGACCTTTGTTTCTTTCATCATCCTCCATTTTCTGTTTTCTCTTTCTTTGTAAATCTCCTGTTCTTTCCCCTCTGTACTTGCTTTTCTTCAGCAACCCCAATTCCTGCTTGTTCCCAGTGGCTTCACTCGCACACCTTTCTTTAGTCTACCTACTACTGAGATCAGCAATGAAACAGGTAATGTTGGCATTGGCGTGATGACTACTTATAGAGCACTTGTTACAGGCTTTCTGGAGATTCTGGAAGACTGTGTTGATTGCACTCAGTACATGTCTCGAAAGCATTCTTCACAACCAGGAGGGTTGGAAACAGCTATGTGGAAACTGGATTTGATCTTTGATTTTGGAGGAGTCTTGTGATTTTAAAACTTTCCACAAACGGAAGTTCCCCAAACATTGTTTGACTGATCAAAACATTTACCTTATACTAACTGTGGCTCTTTGAGCTGCGTTGTCCTTATATAATA